TGTAATTGAATTCTATGAAAGGATTTATGACCAACATAAATGATCCTGGGATGGTTCTAAGTAGTACTTTAACCATTTGGAAGAAAATCAGATCCTCTGAGGGGAGATCATCTTCCCATTCCATCCATAAAAATTAGAGGAAAACTTCACCAGATCACTGGGCTTGTAACGTTCAGTCCTGAGGGCTAATCTTACCTAATTTCTTCATGAAGGAAGCATCCCGAAGATGCTTGCCCCGTTTCTCAGTTTTGGAGATTCCCTCCCCCCCTCACCTTTTGGCTTCTCTTCCCTTACTTTTATCTCCTCTCTCATATGCCTTATTGATAGCAACGATAAAGAGTAGTTACGAAATGGTTATGAAACTTTTATTTGAAGCAGAGATGATTATGTTGTTTCGGGAGGGAAGGGAAAATGGACTAAATAAAAGGAAGTGACTCTGGGCTGTTAAGAAAGAAGACCATTAATAGCCACATCCTGATTTTGTTCCTAAGTCATCAGAAAGAGGCAGGGAACAAGGGGATAATAAGAGAAAATGTATTTCTCAGACAAAGGAGCAGACAGCTAGGGGACAGCAGTTTAGAGAAAGAGGCGAACATTGCAGAGGGAGAGTGTGCAGAGTGGGATGCCCTAATCCCTCTGAATCACACTGGCAGGGGCACAGGCGTTTGAAGTCCTTGGCAACTTCAGCCTGGTCTCAAAGTGGATTGTGAGGAATAAGAACAAAAGAAAAGTTCACTCTGAGTTCCTCTTGTCAGAGCGGGAGAAATTGCTTTGAGGCCAGCACTAGAAGATGCTAATGGTAGAAAGCCGAGTCAAAGAAGAGAATAAAAGTGTGTCAGGTCACTGGGAGCTTGCCTAGCGTAAAGTGAGATAAAGCCACGCTAACGAGACATTCAGCCTAGGTCCCACCACGTATTGCTGTGCCAGTCACTTCTAAGCAGCGCTCAGCTGGCGAAAATCTGAAGATAATGCCTCAACTATTCTGAAAATATTCGTTCCCTCGACAAACAGTAATTGAGCTGTGTCGCCAGGACTATTGCTGTTAATGCTGGAAGGTGTGATAGGAGACCTTATGTCCTCGTACCAACTGGTTCTGTGAGTCAGAAAGGATCCTTGGAAAGCGGGTACTGGGAAATCACTGCTGACCCTGGAAGGGCACAGCCCGGCAGGAAATAGGGTAGGACGGGGGAGAGCCAAAATGGTAACTGGAAAGAAATATGCTTCTGTTTTAAACTCCTTAAGAGGAAAGACACCATCACTGCTACTCTTTCTTCTCCAGGCCTGACATTTCTCAACCATAAAATAGGTTGAACAAGGCGACCCATACCTTCCCTTTGGGCAGGTTTGGAATGGCTCTGGGAGTTATCTGGGGATTGTGCCAGGGAGTTGGGACAACATAGGGATCTCTTTAAAAAAAAAAAATACAATTACTTTATTGATTTCTTAGAATCAAATACTGCCAACTAGCATTAGTTCCACTCATACATCACTAAAAACAAAAGGATATTTCCTTGGTATTTCCAAGTGATGCATTACACAATAAACAAAAAAAGAAATTAAAATGCATCCTGATGAATTATGTAAACTGGTAATTTTTTTTAATAAAAGCATAACTAATAATTTGGTTCCTAACATGGGGATCTCTTAATGGGGAAATCTGTAATCAGCTGCAGGAAGTAGAAACTCTAGGTGCTTTTTCTATATATTTTTATGCATCACTGAGAAACTTTTAAATGTTAAAGATGCCAGTCTTCCCTCCAGATTCTAACCCAAAGGCTGCAAACTAGGCACACCTAGGTTTTGTCTGGCTAGCAGAATATTTTTTAAAAATTGATCCAGCATTTAAAAATTGTGAGTTTTCACGTGAAAATCCAGATTTTTTGGCTTCTCTGAAACACTGGAAGATCTGACAGCACTGGACCCACAGCAGCAGTTAGCAAGAGGTGGGTAGCAGCTGTCCTGTTTAGATGGGCGTCTGCTCTCTAGTTTGACCATCCCCACCACTCACATTAGGGTGACCATATAACTTGTCCAAACAGGGCACTTTTGAGAGTAAAAGGGGGCGCTGTTAGTAATGACGCCTGGACTACAGACATAAACCAGGACTGTTGTGAACAACGAGGATGTATGTTTACCCTACTTCACACTGCCTACACTGGGCTTGCTTTTCTGGTTTGGCCAACTGTTATTTGGGTTATATGGTCATAAGTCAGGGACGCCCATGAGGAAGAAGAGAGAGAAAAGGTGTAAAATGAGGAAGAGACTTGACAGTTAAAAAAAATAAAAGAAATGAAAAAGAATATTAGGATGAATGCCAATTACACCAAACCTTCAGGTAAAGCAGAGCCTTGCTGGTGGCTGGCTCGGCATGTAAGTTTGACCTTCCTGGCTCCCTGCCCCCCACAGCACTGTCAGTTTTAATAAGCTGTAATCCCATCGCTACCAGCGAGACTAATCAAACTGCAGAGAGCAGCCTGTTCCTAATTAGGAAGGCACAGGATAATCATTTAACTCTGTGGTTTCTCAGTGAGCTCCAAGCTGCCTCAACAGGAAAAAACATCCTGGAGAAGATGGTTGCTTACACACTCTAATCTTGACCTTTTGATGGTCTTTGTTTGAAATTTTTATTAAAATGCTTTAATTACACAAGTATTTAGTTTGAAAAATGTTTTAAAAGAATCTTTTCCCTTTATTCCCAGAGAATAATAAAATATCCTTCCCCCAAGGCATATAGGAAACCTCAGGCTCCTATTGACTCCCCACTTTAATTGATCGCAGACAGAAATCCTCTCGAAACCATTCAAGGTGTGATTACAGTCCCCAAACTGGGGTCAGGAAGGACTGGGGGACGTGGAATGGCAACTCACGTTGAGCACCTACAGACCTACAGGTGCCAACACGGTACCATGGGCCACACAGGCCAGGGCCAGCTAGTCTCCAGTGCAGGACTGGAAACCAGGACTGAGCTGCAGCAAAGGTCCAGAAGCACCCCGCACCTCGGGGCCAGAAGACCCACCTCTTCAGTCCTCACTTCTCGTAGCCCCTTCAACTCAGGAGTAAGCCACCAGGAAGAAGCTACTGCAACGGTTAACTGTTGAGTTTTAGTCAGATGGCGCCAAGTCTAACCTGGGAGCTGACTAGTGGTAGGTCCTTAGGCAAACTACTCAACCTTCCAGAAATTCCTGGTAGGCCCTCAGGCAGGCTACTCAACCTTCCCGAAACTCAGGCTAGGAATAATAGTATCAACGCTTCACAGCCATGCTCTAAGAGTCAATGAGATATGTGTGGAAAGCAGTTACTAAGGTGCCTGGCACAGTAAAAGTACTCCATAGATTGTGCCTATTATTATTTTTTTATTATGTGCTAGCATAGCCTTAAGGCCCTTGATTATATAATGTAAAAAGACAGGTGCATCCCTGAATCTCTTTCTTGGGATTCTGCATTTAGTGTGAGTGCACTTAAAACCATGACTACAGATGGAATAGTAGAGAACATTTCTGGTACCATGGAAATTTAACGGAGAACATTTCTGGTACCGTGGAAATTTAACGCTTTGTTTAATAGACTCATTATTATTTACAGGAAACCAGACTAGTATATTTTTTTAATTAAAAATGTTTATTGGCTATTGACCTTAATAGATTTACATTAAAGGAAAGGAACATTTTTTTCAAATGTGCTAATAAGAAAAAGACCTAGAAAAATGGACAAAGTTGGACAGAATTTTCGGTTTTGAACACAAATAAAACTCATAAATTTTATATGGATTCTGGGATATTTATTAATACCCCTCCAACAATGGGTTTGGCACTGAACAGGAGTTATAAACATATGAACAACTCCAATCCAATATATTTCAAAACAAGCAGATTCTTTTTTTAAAAAATAAATTTATTTATTTTATTTATTTATTTGTGGCCGCACTGGGTCTTCGTTGCTGCGCTCAGGCTTTCTCTAGTTGCGTTGAGCGGGGGCTGCTCTTCGTTGAGGTGCACAGGCTTCTCACTGCGATGGCTTCTCTTGTTGCGGAGCACAGGCTCTCAGTGCGCGGGCTTCAGTAGTTGCAGCACGCAGGCTCAGTAGTTGTGGCACATGTGCTTAGTTGCTCCGTGGCGTGTGGGATCTTCCCGGACCAGGGCTCGAACCCGTGTCCCCTGCTCTGGCAGGCGGATTTTTAACCACTGCGCCACCAGGGAAGCCCAAAACAAGCAGATTCTTGAGAAGAGAAACTCTGTCTTTCATAAGTATCCTTGCCATTAATTGGAGGAGAGGTTGTAAGAATATCCATGAATTCTGGAATTCATGAGCTTTGGAATTCATGGACGTTCTTAAACCACAATAAAAGAAAACAGTACAGGTGGGCACCCTACATATAAAAATACAGTAACCACATAATAATTAAAAACAAAGTTCAGTAATGCCCACTAAAATGAACAAATAGAAAAATGTAGCACAAGAATGTAAAACAAATATATTTTATCCCCCTACAAACAAAACAAAGGCATCTTTTTGGTTCTGCTGTTTCTATAAAAACTATGTGTGAAACGTGCATGTATGTGTATTCTTATAGAAAACTTGACAAATATAGAAAAGCACAAAGAAAATAAAAATCACCTGTCACACCATCAACATGAATGTCATTCCTTTGACAAGAGCAGAAAAAAATTGAGAGAATCAGAGGTGATCAGCGAAGGTCTTCCCAGCCTCAGGACCTGCTGATGCCAATTTACCAACCACTTTAAAATCTACAGGCTAAACCTTTCTAGGCTCTCAAATATCTCTACTGTTGCCTGACTCCTGGCACCACTGCATTTTTCATCAGGCCAATAGTGATCAATAAACAAGGATACACATAAAGCTATGGTTCCAATCTAAAACTTCTTGTTCCCCAAATATTAGAGCGAAATGGAATCTTAGAAATTAGTTTAGTACTATTCACTTTGCCTGTCCCCATTTATTCAGGAGGAAGCAGGCATGGAGAGGTTAAGTGATTTGCTCAAGTGTCATAGTTGAGTAGAACTGAAACCCAATCCTCTAACTGGCAGGCCAGGGCTCTGTCCAAGTGAACACACGGTGACTGAATCTCCCCAGGTGATGTAGCTCCAGTTATTATGTGGTTCGACTCTTAATGACCCTACAAGGCAGAACACAGTGGATCTGCACGACCAGATGAAAGCAGCTAGGCAAACTTTCAGCTCCTAATAGGCAACTGCGCTGACTCTAGTGAGACAAGTCACAGAAAGACCATATGGTCAAACGAAGAGTGTGCCCTGGGCCAACTGGTCATTGGAGCAATGTGTGAGCTCCACATTCCGTGGAGATGTGAGCCTGGTTAAATCACAAGGTTGATTGCACTGCCAGGACAGCTTGGAAGGCACAAGTGTCGAAAAGAGACCCCTGAGAATATAAGGATTAAAATGAAGAAAACTCTTGAATCAGACAAATTCCTTCTTGGTCAACAGGCATGTGTCCACAGAGGTCATGCTACTCATGACCAATCAACTCCCTTCAAGCTCCAATCCAGCTCAGTGAACCCTCAGATTCTCATCATCCCCACTTCAAGGCTGTCCCTTCACATCTAAAGCTTTTATCTTTGACTAAACGAATCTCTGTTGACTAAAAGAGTTAGCGCAGAAATATTCAAGGTCAGGTTTCAATTCTTTCTGATCAATCTAGGTCATTCTAGGTCATTTCAGTCGTAAGAAGAAGTCTCTTTAGCCTCAGTACAGATGTTCCTTATCTGAGTAGACTTCATTCTCAAATATAAGTGATTAAAGTGAAGATCGCTTCCTGCTGTCTTCCTCCCACATCACAACCGTGGTGCAGGCTCAACGTGAAGAGTGAGGTTATGCGTACCAGGTCTCAAGACGCCTGCCTGTGGATGAGCTCTTTCAACTGTGCCAGTCGGTCACTTTTTAGTGCTTCCCGGATGGCCTGGAAAAATCCAAAGTAGTGTTCAAAGTTGTGCATCATGAGCAGGACGCCAGCCAACAGCTCGTTGGTCACCAGCAGATGGTGGATGTACGCACGAGTGTGATTCTTACAGCAGTAACAGGGACACCCTCTCACGAGTGGATCAAAGTCCTCCTGGTACCTGAGAAAGGAAGTTACAACGATATTCCGGAAAGTGAGGAAAACAAGACCTCGACAACCTAGACTAACCTACTCTGCTGGCACGCAACCAATAGTTAGTAACACAACTGGCAAATGTAGTGCCAGGCACCTGCTTAAGGCGGCAACGTGGTCAAAAGTTAACAGAGAGTACAATGGGCCGGGAGACTCAGGAGTCTTCCTCAGATGGATACGACCTCCTAGACTGAGGCTTACCAAGGAGCAGCAGAAGAGTCACGTGCTCGCTCCCCCCTGCTGAGCAGGGTTAGTCACACTGTACAGGCACACAAAAATGTCAGGAGACACTGTTCTGATGAATGACACTTTTCTCCCACTCGCCACCAGGGCTAATATTAGAAGAGATGATATGACCTTTTACTTGCATAGCTTTTTGCAGTTTACAAAAAACTTTTATGTATACTGTCTCATTTAATCTCTGTAACCACCCATGGAGATAGGCATTTTTCCTGTCACTTTACCAGTGAAGACTGCCAAGGGGTTTAAGAGGGAGGGCTATGGAGCAACAATGCCTGGGGTTGGTTCCTGGCTCACAACTCACTTGGGAAAGTCACTTAACCTCCCCGTGTCTTTGTTTTCTCATCTGAAATGTAATAAGGTAGTAACAGTGCCTACCTAATAAGAGTTGTTACAAGAATTAAATAAGTTAATATAGTAAAGGACACTGCTAGGTACATGCTAAGCACTATATACGTGCTACTTTCTATCAGCTATTAAAAAGAAGTTAAATGACTTGACCAAGGTCACACAGTCACAAGCAAGGCTACTATCTGAACGCCAAATCTCCAAAACTTCTAGTGCTGATGATAAAAATATCGGAGTTTCCAATTATATCTATAATGTAAAGTGAATTTTAGTAGTAACCATTTATATTACCCTAGGTTTTTAAAAATGGAAATGAATCTCCTTGGCTATTTTTCAAGAAGTCAAATGTGGTAAACGTCACCATTACAGACCTATAATCAAGAAATCACTATAGAAATAAGAACTAGGAATTTCATATTCTTTCATAAATTTTCAAGTCTGTCCCGTTACTAGATAGACATAAATAAGTCTGAGTCCCTAAAATGTCCCTTTACATAAGACCAAAAACACCCCAGCATTAAAGTGAGTATACCAAGTTCACAGAAAAACCGCTCACTGGTTCACTGATGATTTCCACTTTGGGCCAAATACAAAGTTATTAGATATCTTAGTTCGGTCTTTATAGAGGCAAATATTTTATTTAAGATTTATAATCTGTATATAACCAAGATGGCTTAAATTCCTTAAAATTTAAAAATTTTGTTGTAATATTTTATCTTGAAATCCTTATTTTACACTGTTATTATTTAAAGTAATCATAAGGAGTAAAGAACACCAAACAATGGATCTGGTCTAATTTTTCTGACAGCTCTTCTAAAACAACAGTTATCTAGCCTCAGTTTTCTGACAAGACAAAGTACACAAATTCATCTGCAGAAGAAAAGAGTACTGCTGGCACTGAATTTGAGAAGGCCCAAGCAATATCCAACTATAAATATTTTTTGAAGTCATGAACTGAAAAGGGAACAGTTATATAAACTTTCAAAACAGACTGAAATTAAAAAGTCAGAAATCAAAATCCATACTTAAAAAAAAATTCCTTACTTTTTTTCCTTCAGATTAATTTCAAATGATGTCATTTCTCGGTTGCAGCTAGTTGTTTTACTCTTCTTTGTTTGATCCGCATATTTTCCTTCTTCCTGTGTCCCATTTTGTTGCAATACTAAAGGACAAACCAACAAAAAGGTCTTGAATGAAGATCAGATAAAGAGTGGCCATTGGGAGAATTTTATTTTAGTTACTATTTCATGCCCTTTGACTCTGTAATTCCACTCCTCAGAACTTATCGGAAGGAAATAGCACAAGAAAAACAAAGCAATATGTAACAAGATGATCAATGGCCTATGACCTATAGTACCAAAACTTGGAGATTCAACTATGTCTAAGGGAACAGTAGTTACAAGTATATATCTTATAATTAAATGGGGACTTGAGTTGTTCCCTTGAACTCTTTGCTTTAAGAAAGAACATTCCTGGAATTGCAAGAGAAACACCAGGAATACTCATCTACTTGCCTCTCTTCAGAGCAGCTGGCTCTTTGCATAGTAACTAGTGTTACTAGGGGGAATTGCTGCCTACATTATGCAACTTATTCCTTTGGAATTTTCACTTTGTAATTGGCAAAAAGCCTCAATTTACTATACACACACACACGCACACAAATGTGATTCATAATACTTGCATAAAAATGTTCAAACTCAGTTTTCCCAATCATAAAGAAATTTGGCTTTCTCTGGCCCAAAAGGAACGTGTTTGTTACAGAGAATTCAATATCAGGGTCTTTGTAGAGTTTTGCGTATTCACGGTACAGAATGACTATCAGTCACCTATGTCCTGGCAGAGATAATTTCACTTGTAAATGAAGTCATGAACATGTATAAAGTGTTTATGGTGTGCCTATCCAAATACATTACGTTATAGTCTGTCTAAAAGACAGTAAAATTGACCTCCTCTACATATGAATTTGATCAACTTGATTGATTTTGTTTCTAGAACTAATTCCATTTAGATTAACGCTTCAGTTGCTTTATAGGAGTGTAACATATTCTGAATGAAATTTTCATCACTTGTGGGGAGTAAAATGAACCCTTAAAGAAGTCTCTGGCCCTACTCAAATTTAAGGTTGGCGGTGATAGAGCAAGAGTTCAACGGAGAGCAGGACGAGAGAAAGGAAAGCACACTCTGAAGGCCAGACGGAAGGCCAGGCACACAACATTCTCCTGAAACACTGTGGAGACACTTCAAGGGACCCCAACCCAAAGTCTGTATCCTGGTTCCTTTTCTACTGCCAGTTAAATGTTAGAAACTGAAACTGCTTTTCTTGACCTCTGAATAACTAAACACTAAAAGAAAATGGCAGTGCTTCAAAGCACCATTAGCAGAGGAAAACAGCTTTCACATCTCAGTATGTATAAAAAACCAAAAAAGCAAAAGTAACACTAGGATCAGAGGGGATGAGACTCCTTGTGTATTAATAGCATGGGGTTTGCAAAAAGCAGACAAGAACTCTTTTGTGAAAAAACAAATTAACTTTTACCAAGCAGTTCAAAGGTTTTCTTTTCTTAGATTTTCATCACTATTCACTCTGAATGTTCTTTTTTCAGGTTTTTAATAGAAGAGGTTTTGTTTTTCTTGGTTCTGCTCACTACAAAATCACTTCCTAATATTGATGAGCTATGTGTATAGTATTAAGTGCCTGGTTTTGTGTGCCAACATGCCGGGCGTACAGATAAGAAACAAAGACATAGTTTTATAAAAGGCTGGCTTTATAGTATGCACATGTTTCTGGCTTGTAACTCAAGGCAAAAATTGATAGGAAATAGAGAGAATTTAAGGGTAACAGAGAGATTAACTTCAAAAGACCTACATGTCTCTTCAGGAATCGGCTGGTAATCAAAGCTGAAAGTGAGGGCACATCCCCGCTCTGTTGCTAGATAAGGGAAAAAACTCTCAAATAAGTCCACTCCTCTTTCAATACACTCGAGCACCTCATCTGGCTGGCTAACACCGCAGATGAGCCTGTGAAAATAATATGAACAGTGACATAAGAACAATGCCAGGAATGAAATCAGAGAGTCTTTCCAGAGGGCATTAACAGTAATAATAACAAAAATCATGGTTAGCGTGGCAGGCAGCAGACAAGGAGGTGTATGGAAAGAACATAGAGCTTTGGAGGCAGAGAGACCTGGACCAGAATCCCTACTTGCTGTGTTACTTTGGGAAGGTTTCTTAACCTTTCTGAGTTTTAGTTTTCTCATTTTAAAAACAACAGCAAGAATACATACCTCATAGACTGGTTGTAAGGATTAATGAGATATCCGCAAAAGCACAAAGTGTAGTTTCTGCCCCAAAGAGAAGCTTAACAAAGGTTAGTTTTCCTTCCCTTCTCATCCCTTCTGAAATAACCTCCGTAGTCTCAGACTGAACTTTGTAGTCTTCCTATTCACTACATAAGATTTTTTTAGTGCAAAGCTGTGTGCTTTATTTCCCCTTCAAATACTCTTCCATGTTTTAACTGTATTTTGCTTCTAATTCTTTTTCATAATTGCTTCAAGAAAGACATTTTTATCTACTGTATTCTTCATGGGTTCATTTACGAAGCAATTCTTGCTCTCGGAATTTCAACTCTGCCCACAGGCTCTAAGTTTTCTTTATGCTTCTTTATATCTTCTCCATTAATAAAATGTCTGCATGGTAGAATGAGATGGTATTTCCAGAGGCAATGGGTAATGAATTCTGAGAGTGTTACTAACATTCAACCAGGTTTTGCCACTAAAACGAGATGGGGAAATGCACTAGACTAGGGCTGGCTGGCTGGCTGCTATTTTTTATGTTTGTTTTTCTACTCATAGGTCCCTTTTACAAACTGGCAGAGAAAAGCTTATAGACTCCCTGATTTCTAAAAGAAGTCCAAAAAAAGGCTTATGTAATATTAAACAACTAGAACCCTTAAATATATGCTGGTTTTTCTGACTACAGTTTCCTTCAAGTAATGTCATGTTTTAGAACTCCTCTCCAACTGAAGCTGGCATTTCTACACACTTATAGAAAGAAAAACAATCCCAGCTTTCAAATCCAGTAACAGACATCTGTGAGCACTTAACTCAAAAGGAGTCCAGAAAATGACTAGAAATACTAGTGCTGAATTATCATCTGCACCAGAATGAAATAAGCACAGGAGGCAAAGCAATGAACACAGAGAGCTAGGATAAAACTGGGGCGGGCGGGGCGGGGGGAGGGGGGAATGCTGGCTGGGGTGATGGCAATATCTTGCTCTGGCTGGTGTTTACACAAGCATATATACCAATAAAAATTCATCCGGGTATACATAAGATTCATATACTTAACTGCAAGCTATACCTGGATTTTTTAAAAAGAGTAAAATTACATACACATATCCAGCAGCCCAAGGGGTATAAAGCAGCACCCCATAATCAAACCTCTTAATATATCTGTAGGAAAAAAGCATGAATATTCATATCAACTGGGATAAAAGACTACGGTTTTTTAAAAAGAAAAAATTTGAATAGTCTTATAAGACATTGGCTATACTCAGAAACTTGGGGATTTTTAGCTCTGAATCTTGCAGATCACTCTTCTCTCCAGCACATAATGAATCCTGTGACTGATGGAAAGAACCAACCCCACTAGGGTTGCCAGTGCCCTTGATTTCAAAAAATAATACCACTCACTACCTGCCTCAAATCTAAGAACTTCTTAAAGGACCTTATTGACAGAACCCATCTTCATTCCACTAGGCATCCCAGGTCTGTCCTTAACTTTACTTGCTTAAGGCCAGAGTTCCACATGACTTTCTATCTGTCCCCAGGCACCAGGTTATAGTGAATAAAGAACAATATTTACAATTGGCACAAGGATGAGGGGAACCAGTATAACACTTGCCCTCACTTATAATGAGGATCAAATTAATTCACATGGCAGTGTCCTCTGGTCTACATTCTGAAATCAAAGGCTAGACAGCCTTGATGGAAACTTCCTCCACAGTCTGCCTCAGCAGACTCAGCCCAGAAAGAACGTAATCAAAACATCAAAAGACACACCCACGTACAGACTGCATACCACACATTCGGCAGCACCCCTGCTCTGCAGCTCACCAGGCTCGACCTGCACCCTGACTGAACACTAGCCTCGGTTTGTGCTCCGGTAGCTCCGCAGTGACTGATGACAGCAAGTGCAGTCTAGTCTCCAGGGTTGTTGGAGTCCCTTGAAAGCCATCCAGAAGGAAGCCACCTACAGGCCGCTTGGCTGTCTCTCGTGCTGACCTCAGCCTCTCCTCCATCACATCTCCACCTTCAATCACTCCAATGATCATACTTTTCTGGAGGACCTAAGGGAAGAAAGGATTGAACGCTTTTAACTGTTTCCAGTAGTGGAGACCTTTGTTTAAATGAGCCTTACCGCCTTCCTAAGAACCCTTAGGGCTCCAAAGAACACAATTTGAAAGCCACTCAAAAAGGGAAGAAAAGACCGAAGAGAAGCTGAGGCAATCAACATAGTTAATCAGGCTTTAGCGTAGATTAAATTAAGCACACACCAAGCAGGTATAAGAGGAAAAGAACAAAAGCAACAGTTTTAATTTCTATAAATGGCTATCTTGGTCTACCTTAGGTTACTTCTAAATCTCTTAGTTAGTAATAACTTTAGGAACTGCAAAACTGTTTGGACGGAGCAACTGACTGTCGATTTGGAAAAACATAAAACAAAAATTACTACTGTACACCATCCTCAAAAATAAATTCCAGGGCTTCCCTGGTGGCGCAGTGGTTGAGAGTCTGCCTGCCGATTCAGGGACACGGGTTCGTGACCCGGTCCGGGAAGATCCTACATGCCGCGGGGCGGCTGGGCCCGTGAGCCATGGCCGCTGAGCCTGCGCGTCCAGAGCCTGTGCTCCGCAACGGGAGAGGCCACAACAGTGAGAGGCCCGCATACCGCAAAAAAATAAATAAATTCCAGACGGCCCTAAGATCTAAACATAAAAAATATAGTTATACAAGTATTAGAAGAATAGGTTGAATATTTTTATAGTCTTGAGATAAGGAAGGCCTTTCAAAGCAAGCTAAAGCTTACAGGAAAGGGCAGACATATTTGAGTACAAAAACAATAAAAATTCCCTAGTGAAATATACTATCAACAAAGACAAAGGGGAACTTATTCTTTGGAGGAACACATAAATGTCTACACCATAGGTAAAGCTCCGACAAATCCTCTAAGGAAATGACAACCCCATAGAAATCTAGGCAAATATGTGACTATGAACTTCAGAAAAACAAATGTGAATGCCCCGTACATATCTGGAGAGCTTACTAAACCTCACAAGTAAGGAAATGAAAACTGGAAATAATTCGATACCATTTTTGCCCATCACACTGACAAAAAAGTTAAAGACAGAGAGCAACATAGCAGAGGTAAAAGTGTTAGAGAAATGGCACTTATATACCCTGATAACTAGAGAGAATAAAAATTAGTTCAGCCTCTTGGGAGGGCAAGTAGATAACACTTACCAAAACGTCAATGCTTTTATCTTTATATATCCTAAAATTCCACTTCTAAGAATATCTCCTACAAATATATTCATTCATATGCACCAAGGTTTATTTGCGAAAGATGTTTAGAATAATGAAAAACTGGAAACATGCTAAACATCCATCAATAGAATAAAGGCTTGGGCTTCCCTGGTGGCGCAGTGGTTGAGAGTCCGCCTGCCGATGCAGGGGACACGGGTTCGTGCCCCGGTCGGGGAAGATCCCACATGCTGCGGAGTGGCTGGGCCCGTGAGTCATGGCCGCTGAGCCTGCACGTCCAGAGCCTGTGCTCCGCAATGGGAGAGGCCACAACAGTGAGAGGCCCGGGTACAACAACAACAACAACAAAAAAATAGAGTAAAGGCTTAAGTAAAGTATCAATATAATATGTTCATAGTAGGCTTCCTATATAGCTGTTTTAAAAAGAAAGCAGAACATATATTAACATATACATTGACAGGAAAAGAGTTTCAAGATATTGTTAAACAAAAACAAGCAAATTTTTGAATAGATGATTATATTCATGTAATAAAAACCACATATAGGCATGCATATATGTAATATTTATGTGTATGGAACTGTAAAAAAATAAGGTTTGCAAGGAAAAACACCAATCAACAGTGGCTCTCTGGTAGAAGAGAGGGATGGGGAGGGAGCCTGGAAGGCTATAAAGAGGGAATTTTGCTTTTTGGTTTAAGTAGGAGGAATACAATCAGTCTACTCCTCCAGAAAGAACACTTCATCTGCTGCGCGGAGAATGAATGAGGGGAGGGTAGGATGGGGTAGAAGACGACTTTAATCATCCAGGGAAAGACGAAGAAGAACTGGACTAAGGCAGTGGCGGGGTGGGGGGTGGGGGTGAAGAGGAGAAAGAGGATTTGAAACCTCATCAGGAGGTACAATCAACTCAACCTGACCGATTAGTTGCCTGGGGAGAGGATGAAGACAAAAATCTAGGAGGACTCCTGGCTCCAATTTCAGAAGTCCAGGGAGATGACGAGAGGAGCAAAGACAGGGGATCCTAAGAAAACAGTGGAGGGTGAGGCAAGATGATTATTCTCTTTCATGCATTCTGGGCTTGAGGTATCAGCCACTGAACATACGGACCGAAAGTCAGGGATATGTATATAAAGTGTGACTGCCCAGCCTAGAGAGAACGGTAGGTGCTTGACACAGTGCTGCCACTCCCCACGCCTGCTGCCATGGCAGACAGAGCCAGCCAGCGGGCCGCCCTCACCCCGTTGCACCTGGGAGCAGCTCCAAGCACCTTGAGATGGAACTCATTTGCCATCCCTGGCCTAGGGAATGCATGGAGAAGGAAAGAAAGCCGACAACAGAACCTTGGGGAGCTTCAATATTTAAGGGCATTCAGAGGAAGAGGAGTCAGTGAATCAGAGGGGAAAAAATCACAGGAAGAGGAAAAGATGTATGCCACCATACAAAGGAGACAGTTACAAGGCCTGCCCCTTTCCGTGACCAGTACAGCCCCATCTGGGAAATTCATTTTCATGGTGTAAGAACTATAACCATATAATTTATTGTCTAAAACGGGACACATTTAAAAGTAAAAGGGGGCACTATCAATAATCATGTCAAGACAATAGCGTGAGCATAAGGGGTACAGAGAGGGACCCCTGCATTTGACCAACACACAGAAACAACGTGAAACGGTCAGGCTGACTTAACACAGAAGAGGGATTTGAGGCTCATCTAATAATCACGCTCCGTCACACGCCCTGTCCTCCCTTTCTCCTCATCCAAACATTACTTATCCTACGAGGATAATTACTGGCTCAAAACAATTGCTAGCAAACAACTGTTGGCAGAGCTAACGATGTAGACCCACAGCCATGGCCCCACGCTGGACCCTTATTGCCCATACTGAGAGTTCTATTAAGAACGACAAGTAAGCTTCCTCTAATTATTTCATGTATATTAACTTGATTAGCCAAATTATATTTTTTATTGGTAAACTCAAAATAATGATGTTTTTGAAACTCCGTGTGCTTTTGCTGTAGTGGGGCCCACTTGTTGCTCAGGATTACTCTACATAAATGATCAGACACTGAAAGCTTCTCCTCTGATCATATCTCCTGTTCTCCCACCTCCTCTGCTCTCTCCTAATGAACCCTTCCTTTTCCAGCTTTATTAACTCTGCTATCAAGATCCTTTATTCACTGCTACAGCTTCATCTTCCCCAGCTCATGAGATGATGAGGTTACTGTGCCTTAAGGAGACAAGAAGGGTGGGGAGGGGCACATTCCAGACTTATTTAGGGAACTGGAACCAAGGTGGAGTGAAAAACTGAGTATTACTTGGATATTAAAAGGGGTCTTGAAAGACTCAAATCTCTGGGATGAGGAGCTGGGGGCTGCCACAAAGGGAGACAGAGTATTGAGGGAGAGCCGAAGGAAGAGCAGGTGAGAGGAGGGGAGACGCTGAGTTTGGTTATCTCTGAGTTTGAGGTGAATGTGAGGAATACTCTAGTGACAGAACCTAGCAAAGGCCTGTGGTTATGTAATTCTGAAGCTAAGTAGAGTGATCTCCATTACATACACAGTTTAGAATTTTCAGCAATTTAAACTAAGGGGAGCTGCCCAGGGAGAACAAATAGTGAGGGGTGAAAAGAGAGCCTAAGACAGAATCCTAAAGAGCAATAAAACAATCAGGAAAAAAAATCAGGTGAGAGTAAGAGACCAAGAAATGAGGAGCAGAGAAGCAGAAGGAGGAGAAAGGGTGGTATCTTGGAACGTAAATGAGCGAGAGTTTCTAAGAGAAAGGAGTGGTGAGTGGCACGGCTTTACCTCTGACTCTTCCTGTAGCTTCAGACAATTATCCAGGAATAGAAGCGATCGGTCAACAGACTTTCTGGCTCTCTTTATGGAAGTGGCTTCATCACACGTTGCCTCTCCATCTGAAAGGCACTGGAACCAGTCTGGCTGAAGGGCCTGCTGAATTGCCATGAACTTGGAGACAGTCATTTCCACTCGTCCTCCAACACCCCACACAGACACTGACTGCCACAGGACAAGACGATGAGGGATTCGGAAGAGTAACATGAAAAGAAAAAGAAAATAATAAAATGATCAAAGCAATCCTGAACTCAACTCTTCTTTACAGATGGAGAGATGGTGGCAATTCAATATCCTACACACGGTGGGTAAAGAGGTTTCCTATACTATATTCCAAATTCTCTAAGGACCTGATAGCTCAGAGGCACTCCGATAAAGTCTTTCAACGGCCACACAAGCCAACTTCTGAGTTAGCACTCAGAATTCTATAATTACTTTTCCAGAAGCCCAGTCTTCCATTCTCCGCCACACCCTGCTGTTCCTGAATACACCACAGACTTTAATTCTTCTGTCTTTGATCACATTGTTCCTTTTCACTGAAATGGCCTTCCCCTACTTCTCTGCCTGGTAAAATACTATTCAAGACATAAGAGTTCAAATACCATCTACTCTGTTGTGTTCCTTCAACGTTACTAGGCATAATCAATTGCTCACTCTTATAAGCTCTTTCAGCAATTTGTATTTATTTCTTTCACAGAAAAGATAGCCCTGGGGCTTCCCTGGTGGCGTAGTGGTTAAGAATCCACCTGCCAATGCAGGCGACACGGGTTTGATGCCTGGTCCGGGAAGATCCCACATGCCGTGGAACAACTAAGCCTGTGCACCACAACTACTGGGCCTGCGCTCTACAGCCCGCAAGCCACAACTACTGAGCCCGTGCGCCACAAATACTGAAGCCTGCATGCCTAGAGCCCATGCTCTGCAACAAGAGAAGCCACTGCAATGAGAAGCCCACGCACCAAAACGAAGAGTAGCCCGCACTCGCTGCAACTAGAGAAAGCCCATGAGCAGCAACAAAGACCCAACACAGCCATAAATAAACAAACAAAGGAAAAAAGAAAGAAAAAGAAAAGATAGCCCTTATCACACCATTGTATATATGTCTGACTAGAGTATCCGAATTCATGGTTGTGCCCCAAGTGCACAGTCTGGGGCCTCACACATTATTAATGTTTAGTAAGTGTTTACTAGATTGAGTTAGATACAGAAATATGTGCAAAGACATAAATCCCATAGTACACAAGAATCTCTATATGTACCTTTGGTTACTCCTTTCCCTACAGCATCTCTCTTCTTAGAAGAGATGGACATAAATGCGAGGCCACATATAATCTTTTTATTCTGGCACAAGAACACTGTTTAAATGAATCCTTTCTCCCTTATAAATGGAATAGACAACCGAGGTCAAAATATTTTCTTTTGAATTCAAATTACAAAATAAAAAGAAGTGTAAAACAGAAGACAAATTTAAAATAGTTACCTTAGGTAAGATTAATAGATATTGTTGATATCAATAAAGTGGGTGCAAGAAAAGTAACTGTTTGTAAAATTGCAATATATACTAAAGCTTTGCTAGAATGCTGTCCTCAGGGACAATGCAATGGGGCCATATCTCAGGTTAAAACTTTTAAGGAAGTCCTTTGAATACTGTTTTTCACCAGCTAAGATCTCCAGCTTTTTCAAATTCTGTTCTAAAAAGCAGTATTAGGGCTTCCCTGGTGGCGCAGTGGTTGAGAGTCCACTTGCCGATGCAGGGGACGTGGGTTCGTGCCCCGGTCCGGGAAGATCCCACGTGCCGCGGAGCGGCTGGGCCCGTGAGCCGTGGCCACTGAGCCTGCGCGTCTGGAGCCTGTGCTCCGCAACGGCAGAGGCCACAGCAGTGAGAGGCCCGTGTACCGCAAAAAAAAAAAAAAAGCAGTATTATACTGAGATACTATATATAGTTATACATGTGATAATACTCGTCAGCAACTTTCCCCACTATTCCTGAGGTTGTTAAAACTTCAAATAAAGCATGGTATCAAAAGACTATTGTTTTCTACCATCATAGCAATTTCTTTTTTTGGCATGTACTTGACCTTTCTCTACTCCCAAATTTTGGGCAACAATGAAAAAGCTGAGGATACAGTCCTTACCTTAACCTTATCCTTGGGCTGCCCCACTCTAACTCCTATGAACCACACCATCCCACTATAGTCGTAGAAATAAAGAGAAGGCATAAAGGGGTCTGGAATGGTTCAGCATCCCAAGCAGTGGGATCCTTGCAGCTGAGAGATCCCATAGGCTGACTTCCTGAGAAAAGCCTTCAGCCTTGGAGGACCTTCTGAGAACATACCTTATTTGTTACATAACCAGCTGGGCAAGGGCTGACTGGATCATGCAGGGAGCAGTACAAGAGTGATTCTGGCATGCCTGTATAAACATAAAAAAAGAACCCTTGAGAGGACTTACATCAACAATTACACTGTGTTGTAACAGAGAGCAGCTTCATAATGTGTACCGCTGGATAAAGCAAGTCTAAAACACAATAAATTGCTCATACTTTATCTTAGAATTGTAGGAGGCCTGTCAACATGAATGAAAAGATTACTTTGAAACCTACTAATCTAAAAGAAGAATTAAATGTAAAGGTTCATGTCTGAAGACATAGCGAGTTGCTACAAAGGAAAGGTATAACCTGAAGTATGATACAATGAAAGTGTTTAATGATATGTTGACCCTGCTTGATTTGCTTTGAAGAATTTAATATCAAGTATGGTCATTCTAGGCACTATCCAAGGGGAACTAGCTGCTGGAAAGATGAAATTATACAGTCAATAGGTAATCTTATTAATAATAAATCCAGCCCACACCATGGGTCCCTAGGGGCAGAATTATAGAAAAGCTGTAGGACATTGCAAATGGATCTCATTTTCAATAAGTTTCATTTACTCAAGATGCCAGTTTCTTAGGTTCTTTAATCAAAAAGATAGTTGTTTAAAAAAAAATCCAAAAAAAGTTTACTAAGCCATATGTACTTAAATTTCATATGCTGCATTTTCATAAGAAATAAAGATAGAATTTTGCTGAAAAAAGACCAAAAATATAAAGCAAACAAAAATCTCTGCAGTTCTCCACCTTATTGTCTACAATTTCAATTATTACAATTATCTCTACAAAGCTTATATTAGCTATTTTCACTTAATTATACGCTTGTATACTTTAAAGCTGGTTATTAAAATGGGTCTCAGATCAAGGAAAACGATATTATATAAATTCCTCTCCTGAAACACAGGCCCTTGTGACAACCAAGTTGTCATGCAGTTTCCCTCAGAAGCAGAGGACTGAACAACCAATGGAAGCAGGATTTTCATTCATTTAAGTGAGTCCTAGATATTGCGAAAAAGCTTCAAGAGAAAATGGTCTAGAGAAGAATTGGTTCTCTGGCTGTCCCTGCTAAGCTTTTCCTATAAATAAATGGACACATAGATCAGCATTCAAAATCCTATTTCTGGAACAGAAGATAATATTAACATATCAGAATATAGCTGAATATAGACTCTTCATCCTCTGCCTTATGTTTTAGGCACAAACATGACAAGCCTGCTTTGGATCTTAGGTGTGTCCCATGCAGTCCTTCACCTCTAGGTCTTTGCTCTTTGCCTGGAGTGTCTGCTCACACCTGTCTACCACCACCACTGCACCCACCTCCTGACCTGGCTAACTCCTACTCTTCCTTGACCCAGCTAAGGTGCCCCGTCATCTTCTTTGTCAAGAATACTTCCTTTATTCTGACCTCCTTCCACATGGACCCAACAGCAGGTTATGTGTTCCTTCCTCTGGGCTCTCATGATACATGTATCTACACCTGATCCTGCAAATGTAGTCACCACACTCTACTAGAATTACCTGTTTATCTTTATCCCAACTAGGCTCTGAGTTTCATGAGGGCAGCAGTTGTTTCCCACTCATCTTTGAATCCCCAGTTCAAAGGCGTTCCTGGTTCTTAGATACTCATTAAATGCTTATTAAATTAATGAATAAATAAACGTATGAATGAAGGATCAAAGAATAAACAGCATCTCCAACCTCCAAATTAATACACCACAAGGCACACACAAATAACCTGATTAATTTTTACCTATAAACTTTCCAACTCCTTCCTTATATTCTGCCAAGACTTCGTGATGTTCTGCCCTGTAAGCAAAACAGAAAACTATGTAACATAATAATGAATCATTCTAGATACTCTATGCAACAACTGAAGCCCTCTTCCCACCCAAACAAGCTACGTGACAGTAAATGTATCTCAAAAAACCAAGTACACCATTATTCAAGAGTCCCCACTCATTAGGTTGGGTTCACTAGCCAGAGCAAAGCTCTTCAATTTGCAAGTGGTTCTGTGAGAGGAGAAATTGGCAAAGAGCAATGGCCTCAGAATATCTAGATTTTCTTCTTTCCCTTGTCCCTTTAAAATCACTGTTATTAACACAATCTTACAGAGTTATTTGATCTTATAGCAGATTCTTCAATTAGGGATGAGGTCAGTATGTACATTACACAAAATGATCTCACTCCTTAGTTGTTTCCCTAGAGTAGAACATGTGCAGAGACAGAGAAAACTTTGAGGCTGGTGCGTGAAGACAGCCCCTAGGTTCCAAGTTTAGCCCTCATAGAGCATTCCAGGCCCTGTCACCCCTGGGAGCAGTGGCAATGAGGGCGGTATGGAAAAGTGAAGCAGCTCTATCACGTAGGTCTGGCCCATGATTCCAGATTAGGGCCAGATGATGTACAATATTTGATATCTCTCTTCTGATTTCATTCTAAAAAACCTACAGATTTTGCACGTAAGCAAAAAAGTCTTTCTCTTTACCACACCTTATTAAGGTAACCAAGCTGCTGCAGGGTTGACATGTGAATGACCAGGTCTCATACTTACAGTGATGACAGTGTAAGCTGAGCCATGGCAGGAACTCCGTGGATTTTATGCAGTGTGTGATGGGTCAGGTGTGGGGCAGAGCCAGTCTTGGTGTACAGAAGGCAGCCTGGAATGTCCATGGTGCAGTCCCCTGTTTTGCCTAGGTTTTTTATTTTTCCTAGGCGACAGCCATTAACCACCTTGGTAAGACTTAGCTTCATCCTAAGGGGTTCCTCTAGGTCCTGATAAGAAAAGTACATTACATTCAGAAGGAGTTCCATGATATCTAAAAGCTAAACATTTTTCCAAGCAAACTACAAAAAAAAAAGATAGCATGTTTGTTATTACTTCCAGTCTAGGATTTTTTTAGATATCAGGAATAGGGGAATGGGAAAAGACACAGAGAGAATAAGACACCTTCCCCAAAGTCCCAGCACAATATGATGACATCAACCACATTTAAATTCAGTCATAGAAATTTTGTCTGAGCTGATGGAAACCAAACAAACAGGACAGAAGTAAAGACTAATCATGGAAAGAGCACTGTGAAGCCATGGATTGCTCTCAGCCATGAAAATGTATATAGAGAAATGTCATACTGCTTAGGAAATACTGATTACTGATTTGATCTATTTTTTTCCTTTCTCTAATTTGAGAGAATACTAGACAACATAGCAATTTTTCCTAATATGTAATTAAATGAAGAAAACAGATTCCAAAACAGCATTCTGCTGTTTATTAAAATATATGGAAGAACATACATCAAAAGATAAACAGAGGTTATGTCAGAGAGGTGGGATTATTCTCCAACTTTGTTCTTACACGGTGTCCAAACAGAGGTGAGAAACTGTGTGGGAATCCATGCAATTCGTAAGCAACGTTTCATTATTCTTATAATTGGGAAGGAAAAATATTTGATTAACAAAAAAGATATACTTTCTAAATTCCACAGATACACAGGGAAAAAAAATCAGAAAACATGGTCAATTACTTTGCTGGACTGTGTTAATTTATTATTCAGTGAAGCAAATCCTGGGCCCCACTTTTTTTTTTGCGGCACGCGGGCCTCTCACTGCTGCGGCCTCTCCCGCTGCGGAGCACAGGCTCCGGACGCGCAGGCCCAGCAGCCATGGCTTACGGGCCCAGCCGCTCCGCGGCATGTCGGATCCTCCCGGACCGGGGCACGAACCCACGTCCCCTGCATCGGCAGGCGGACTCCCAACCACTGCACCACCAGGGAAGCCCATGGGCCCCACTTCTTTAAATGCCCTGTAAAACTCAGTGACCAGGCATGGCAGATCATTTGCAAAATGTCACTGGATATTCAGCATTTTGAAATACCAGCGTCTCTGTAGCAAGTATTGATACCATACCCTCTGGAATTTTTGCCAGTTAGGCTAGGCCCAGTTTTATTAATAGATAAATTAATGCAGCTCTCTGAGAGGTTCCAACCTTAGATCCTATCCTCTTAAGCATTATACTAAACCACACGCTGAAAGTCAACCATTGTTTAAGATGTTACCAAATAAATAAGCATTATTTATCATTAGTTAAAAAATATTCAGGGATGTATATATTACTTTTTTGGGAGTTATAAATTTTTATATTGAAACAAAATAGTTAACAGTCTTTTGAATTTTAGAAATAAGAATAACTACTTTCTGTATGGTTCAATAAGTGATTTCATGTTAAACATGAATTATAAAAAATAGTATAAGTATTTGGGGAAAGGCTGGTCAATTTTCTGTGACTCTACCTTCATTATTTCAAGTTATCACAAAGATAAAATGTCTCACTGGAACCCAAAGAAATGGAGAGTGTTAAGAAAAAAAAGTTATTATGTTTTAACAAAGGGTAATATAAAAGCTATTTTTTTAAAGCCATGCTATTACACATTAAAACTGTTAAAATAAAAGAAAGTTTATACCAAAAAAATAAATATAATTACAGGCTAATGAGAATGTAATATAGAAAATACAAGAGAATACAAAAGAAGAGTCATTAGTTTATACAATCATATTCCTTTTTTAAAAAAAGATTTATTTATTTATTATTTATTTATTTTATTTACTTTTGGCTGCATCGGGTCTTAGTTGTGGCATGCGGGATCTTTCCTTGTGGCGCGCGGGCTTCTCTCTAGTTGTGGCGTGCGGGTTTTCTCTAGTTGTGGCTCGTGGCGTTCAGAGCGTGTGGGTATCCCCCAGGCTCTCTCATTGAGGCGTGCGAGCTCAGTAGTTGTGGTGCGCAGGCTTGAGGGATCTTAGTTCCCTGACTAGGGATCGAACCCGCGTCCCCTGCGTTGTAAGGTGGATTCTTTACCACTGGACCACCAGGGAAGTCCCTCATACTCCTTATTGATTTATCAAATAATACACATAACCTTCTGGTTTCAAGTGATAAAAATCTTTTAAACTAACAGAGCTTGGAAGCCATTTGTAGCAAAGTTAAAGAATGTATCTTGCAATCTAAGTAAGTTCTAGAGAACTGAAGCGGGGGAAGCATGAAAGTAAGAAATTCACTTCAAAGTTAATGAATCAACCCTATTATTCTGACTATTAGAATCAACAAATATGGAACAATAGGTTTTTGAAACATAAATAAGAACTAATGAAAATTTAATGGACCAAGATTACTAATACTACAACAACTTAGCGCTTACTACCCTCACACACATCTGAGAATGGAAGAAACTGCATTGTCCCGCGTGTTTTCAGAAAGGCCTAGAGAGAAGAATTTGCTGGTTCCTCCCCTTACTCCAAAAGTTCTGTCTCATCTGAGCTGCTTAAGTTTTGTAAAGAGTTTAAATGTACACACGAGTTGTATTTTTTAAATTAAATCCATATAAAAGTAGGAAGAGTCTTCACAGGATAAAATTAGCATGTTTGAAAAATGAAGTTTAGGATTCTAGAATGCTACCAATTTTTATTATTATCTCTCCCCATCAAACCCTCCTTTCATTTTTCCAGTTTATTAATAAATAACATAAAAGACTGACCATCAAAGCTGCTGACAAGCATGAGATAATGTGCTTTTCCATGTCAAGTTAACTCAATTCCAGGTAAAAACAACAAACCGCAGTGCTTTAGTAAACTTCTGTTTAACATCCCAGGTAATGTATGATTGCCATCAGACTTCAGAAATGCTGAAAATAGTTAAGTCTGACCATTACTACCAGAGACGCCAAACTGAGAGCTCCTCATGGACCATCCCCTCTGCGGTTCCACAATAACAAATCTGAGGCTAAGCAAGATTAATCACACTTAGTCTAGAACCCAGGTCTCTGCCAAGAGGCCTGAGCTTTTGATTACATCTTTGAAGTGAGAGTAATACAATGTCTGTATATGCATATCTCCTCTTCCCACTCTTTCCTCAATTGAAGAAATAGCTTCCTTCATTCTCAACCCAAGGTCTGTCATTACAGGTCCATAGTAGTTCTAGAGGACCTCAGCCACCATGCTCTTAGATGCAGAGATGGGTCCTCCTGTGATACAATGCACAAAAGTTTAATCTCCATAACTTTAAGGATGAAATTGAAAATCCTTAGCTTAGTGTACTGAACCCACTAGATCAGCTGGAGAGAAATACCCACTTGGTTCTCTCCACAGTATGGGACTCTGATGCTGTGTACTTACATTCTGCTGTTTGGGGTTTCTTAAGAGTCCTACCCTAATCACAGTAAATGGACACAGCATCAAAGGAAAAAGTATAAGCAAGGAAAAGTAGACAAATGTGTCTAAAGAAAAGTATTGTAATAGATAAATTGTTACTGGTGATTCTGTGTATTTTGAGGATGAATGCAAATATGAAGAAATCTGAGGAAAGCAACAGAGAATGTACTTTAGCTGGAAATCAACATTTAAAAAATAACATGCAACTTTGTCCAGCTTTGAACCCAGCTTTCCTTTCCTCATTACTGATCAATTTGTGGTTAGTGTTTTTATAACTGCACATTTTTTCTAGGGGTTTAAACACAAAAAGGTTTTATTATGTAGTAATGTAAATATATACACACATACACATATTCATGTACATATTTTTAAAACATGCTTTTGGAGTGATATAGTCTATTAATCCAAGCAAAGTTCTCAAGAAACAAACTAACGGTCTCCAAAATATTAACTGGTTTTTATTTGGCTTCATATCATTACCCTTTTCCCTTTAACTTGTTGTGAGTCTCTTCTAAGATTTCTGGGGTTGTCTCTTCTCAATATACAAACATCTACATTTTCACTTCCTGGTAAAGTCTTAAAAAAACCATTAAAAGAGCCATTTGGAAATAATGGTTAATGGAAAAACTCTTAATCACTTTAAGGACAAGTAGATCTATGCTTTTACAAGGGCTAACCAAGATTCCCTGCACTTGTGGCAGCATTGTACATATCTTAATACCTCCATTGCCACATATTTCTCCCCTCCTTCCATCCCCTTAGGAAAAAAGGGAGTTTTAAATGTTTCTTAATGGATTCTCTACAGACTGTCATGGAAAGATGACCACAATACACTGAGGGAAAAGAGCAGGCTTAGGTGAACAGATTTTTTGCAAAAGAAAAATTGCGTATATATATTTATAAATATGCACACACAAACACACACTGTACACTGTCTGTATATGCATGCAAAAAAAGTCTGAAGGACTTCTAAACAATATGGTGCACTGAGCTGATTAAGAAAGACATACAGAAATGATGGACTCTAAAATTCTAGAAACTAGTAACGGAAGATGAGGAGGAAACTATTCAGAGGTACTATTCTAAAATTCTTACACTATTTGGGAGGAGGAGAGAGATCATGAATAATGTTAAACTTTAAGTATGCATGTTAAAAAATTTTAAGTAAGCATTAAAAGATTACTGAAAATGGATAATTCCCAAACCCGCTGGGGAGGGGCAGGGAAGGATCAAGAAGAATTGGTTAATACTTAAGGGAAAAAAAGAGGAAAAGAGACCAAAAGCACACCAAAAATAGAAAATACAAAATAAGATGGCAGGAGTAAGTCCAAATATGCCAGTAATCACAATAAAAGTTAAATTAGTTTCACATATTTAAAGAAATAACAACAACAGTAGCAACATTTATTGGGTGTTTACTGTGTATCAGGTCCTGTTATTCACGTTAACTCCACTATTATGTACTGTCATGTCAATCTAAGGCAGATGCTATTATTACGGGCATTTTACAGATGAGGAAACTGAGGCTAAAAAAGTGACCATTTACAAAGTGGCAGAGCCACTTAAATCATAGAAATCTGCCTTTAGAGGCTGTACTCTAATAGGCTGGTAGTCTATTAGAAGTCCCATCTTGTCCATAAACACATGCAATGTTTACAAATTAACTGTAATGTTAAGATATAATGTTAGTCATATTTTCCATTTTGCTATACTGTTATTACTGTTCTCGTCTTCCTTTATCTCCCTTCTCTGCCTCTATCCATCCTCCAACCTTTACAACCTTTCTATATATGCACACAAGCATTTAAATATACTTGTATGGGAAAGGGTGTTTTTTAATTTAAAAAATGTAAATATACTATACTATAAGCACTTCTCTGAAATTTGCTTTTCGCCCAGGAATACACAACGGATATTTTTCCTGAAGAAGAGACACAGAATTTAACTTACCCTTTAAAATAACTACTTCATGATACTGCATAGCTTGGATGTAACACAATTTAATCTACCATCACCCTTCTGATGAACACTCAAGCTACAGAACAGGTCTTGTGATTGCTGCAGTAGTCTTGAGGGCACAGCTTCCCTGATTTTTTTGACAAATCTCAAGTCTATTTCAGTTTATGTTTCCTGGCAGAGTTCTCTACATACATTGATTTTTTAATGGGTACCACACTCTAATGATTTAGGTACTATAGCTCCCATTTTGCAGATGAGTAAATCGAGGGTCCGACAGTTATTAAACAAGTTGCGTAAGGTCATACAACTACAAAGTAGCTGGGTCTAAATCTCTACCCTGCCTTATGAACCTACATATCCCAGCATGCACTGTCCCCGGGAACACTTAGGCTCAGTCAGTAACGATGGATTTAGCTTCACTCCATGGGCCCCAGACCTCGCGAAGCGCTTACATCAGGTATTCGAGATCGGTCCAACCCTCCCAAGCATCCTGGGGAGTCTAGAAAAAACTTGCGCACGGAAACTTGACCTTTAAGCAGAGCCCGGTCGAAAGGAGACACTTTTCTCTCTGAGATGCGGTGAGGCTCACACGATTTGGGAGAATCTGGATTTACAGAAGCCAGGATCCACCAGGAGACCCAGAAAAATGAAAGAGACATAGCGCCAGTACAACCGCAACACATCCAGGAAGCGTCTAGACGCGACGCGACTCTCTCGCAGCAGCCTCCCCTTACGCGTAGCAGCTCCCACACCAACAGGAAAAGGGGGCACTTACCTGCAAACCTCTCAACTTTTTTGGGCTTGAGACCCCTTAAGCTCCTCGCCGTTCGCTACCGCGTGTCCAGCTTTCACAATTCTCGGCTCCCTGAACCGCCGCCTCCGATGCAGAGCCAATCAGGGAGCATTGCGTCATCACCGGGCGCCAGGAAAAGGCAAAGGTAATTGAAAATGAGCTTCGGTGTTTGCAAGGCCGAGGGACTGCTACCGTCGCCATAGGTAACTGAGCACACACGTTCCGCCTGCGCAAAGCCTCCTGGGAGTGGTGGTTCGACGGCGCCCCACACCTGCAGTCTTCGTGGGCAGAGGAACTACAACTCCCAGGGAGACCCGGAAGCAGTCTAGGCAAAGGAGCGGTTGTTTCAGCTTTGGCCGAAGTCCGGCCCTGAGCCTGGAAAATGCTTCTAGCGCCCCAGGAAAGGACCTCCGCAAGGGAGAGGTCGGGGCTGAATGGATGGAAACAGTTTACAAGGAAGCCGAGTCTCACCAAGGTGATCCATTCCTATCGGGAGCTCTTGGAGAGGAGAGGGGAGGGGAGGCGGGGACCGGCCCTAAGGCCAGCCGCAGCCCCACCTGCGCGTCTTCCCTCTTGCCCCAGGGACATCATTACCTGGTCCGCTCCTGCCATGACCCACTGAGAGCCAGCACTGCGCTAAGTGAAGGGGACCTAGGAACTTTGGGGCTTGGTTACCTTACGGCTTTGATGGGCAGCGTCGTGGAAGAACTGTTTCCATCTAACGCTTTTCTCAAAAACCGGAGAGTCTTGATAGTGCTCATCCCGGTGAAGAGAATTCGAGAGCTATCCCGGCTCCCCACCACTCCTGGTTTTAGGGAAGTTCCCACACGGTTTCATTTCTTTTTCTTTTGTTTTCTTTCATTCTTCTTCTTCTTCTTCTTTTTTTAATGTTTTGCAAATCATAGGAAACTTCTTTGTTGGAGGGGTAAGATCTTCACCTTAAGTCCTCGGCCTCATATTCCTCCCCTTCTAGTTTTACATAAAGTATCTAAAATGAACTCAGAAATGCAAGTGCATATTGACTATATCAATACTTGATTCACTTGAAAATCTAAATTGTAGAAACAGTCAAAAATAGATCCTCTTTATATTTGCCACCTTCTTTGATGCATTAGCATCCAAAGACATGGAAAACTGATAACCCCACTGTAAACTTGAAACGTGTAAATGACATGTGAAAAGTCACAGTCACACGGAGTGTGCTTTACACAGACTACTTTTTTTTTTAATTAATTAATTTCTTTATTTTTGGCTGCGTTGGATCTTCGTTGCTGCGCGCGGGCTTTTCTCTAGTTGTGGCGACAAGGGGCTACTCTTCGTTGCAGTTCGCGGGCTTCTCATTGCAGTGGCTTCTCTTGTTGTGGAGCTCGGGCTCTAGGTGCTTGGGCTTCAGTAGTTGTGGCTCGCGGGATCTAGAGTGCAGGCTCAGTAGTTGTGGCGCATGGGCTTAGCTGCTCTGCGGCATGTGGGATCTTCCCGGAGCACGGCTCGAACCCGTGTCCCCTGAACTGGCAGGCGGATTCTCAACCACTGCACCACCAGGGAAGCCCCACAGACTACTTTTTTTAACAGTCACAAAAATGAATGCTTTAAATGTAAATGGGAGTACCAAATGGAGGACTTCTCAGCTTACAGCTGTTTTCACCCTTAAGTTACCCCTCCTTAAAAAATATTCGGTAGACATGTGGCGTTTCTGTGGCCCCTAGGCAATTGTGCTTGCAGGTTATTCTAAATATACCAGCTAAATAATGCACTGGACATACTTTACTTGGTGAATATCTTGCGCCAGATGCTGGAGTGTGCAGACTGGAGCATTAAAGAGACTTGGAAACAGAGTCTGCTCCTGTTGTACCAGTTCCATAATAGATTGGATCCCAAGTAGGTTATGGGTATAAACTTGATGATGAAAGGTAAAAACTGGGGACAGTTTTGGGGACCCCAAAAGGAAAGTTTTTGCTGCTAGTGCTCATTGTTACTACCTAGAGGATAGAAAGGTAAAAAACAAGAGATCCTTGAGGTTCAATTGTGTTTGAATAGGATCAGCTGTTTCTTTGTTGCAGCGACAAAATTATTCAGCAGTACAGCTGCATTAATTAGTTATCTGTAAGGTGCTTTGTAGGGGAAGTGTTATATAAGTGAAGGATAGTATTATACCTTTCCCTCCTGTATGTGTCAGCATGCTCGTTTAGATATTCCCTTATTTATTGAAAAACCCACCTAAATTATTAGCAAAGCAAATACCTCTATTTGTTAAGTTGCTATTAGAGGGAATTCTGCAAACTTCTGAGACTTAACAGAGAGTGAAGAAAGCAGGTGTCCTACTGGTCTGATTTCTAATTTCAGATTAATATCTGACTGACCTGGGTAGAAATTTATGTGATTTCTGCCTCATTTTTGCTCTGTAAAACAGTGGAAGATTGGTTATCCCTCACTCTACCCCCCATTTCTTATTGGACCAAACAATATCCTTGCTCTAGGTAAATTCAAGTTACTCATGAAAAGAGGGGTCTGGGGAGAGGCGCACACCTTTCTCCAAGCAGATTTGTTTCCATGACACTTGAATAACCTGGCTAATTAATCAGTGCTTATTTGGGTTTTTATAAGGAATATTATATGTAGCATTCCTCTATCTTGGCTCTTAACCCTGGGGAGCTTTAAAAAAATACTGACACATGGGCCCTACCCCAGACCAATTAAATCAGAATCTGGAGATGGGCCTAAGTAAGAGATAAAGCAGTCAGAAGTTATTCCAGAGAAGGCTTCGTGTTTTCTTCATCCTACCAGCATTCTGTATTTTTTTTGTTGCTGAACTTTCTAATGCAATGCTTTGGGGAAAGACTAAAGGACGTTTGTCCACAGCCTTCAACCAGAAAGACAAATTAAAATGGCAAAGTTGATAGATACATTGCTGGGAACTAATATTCTGTATATATTTTCTACAGCCTGTGTTTGACCCTGACAATGTGGAACACTGGATTAAGGTAAGGATATTTCATAATTAAGATAGAAAGAGAATTAAGAGTCACACATAGTCAGATGGAATAGGAATACTAATAGGTCTCCATTTTGCGTATATTTTGCTGTTTTCATTCCCATGTGACTATATATGTTGCCTTAGTTTTGTACTGTAGTACATTTTCATGATTTTTGTGGCTTCTATAAAAGCATGAATGACAAGATAACAGGTAGACATCCCTTTCAAATGCCATGAGGATCATCTGAAGAGGATTAAAGGAGGAGGGGAGGAGAAGCCTTAGGAGAGGACATTGTGGCTTTCCCCAGATAATTGGAAAGAACGTACTGTAGTTACATTGACCTGTGGGACCAATACAATAGGTAAAAGCTATGCATGCATCACAAGTAAGAATCTTCTAGTAACTAAAGCAATCCAAAAATGGAGTGGGCATTCTTCTAAACAGATGGATTTTCTATCACTAGAGGTATTCAAGTGGGTTCTAAGTGGTCACTTAATGTTAGGACTAACGAGGAATATGTTTGAGCGTTTAGTGGGGGTGGTGGATGGTGGTGGATTGTGTTAGATAACCTCTGAGGTCTCTTCCAGGCCTGAGACGTATATTTTTGAGTCCAAGTACCATTTAAGTTGAAAGTACCATTAAACCACTTCTGGTGCGTGCCTCCGAGTGTCATTTTGGCAACTTGCCATACTCATTTGTGCACGACCTGTTTCAAAATCATGTAGTATCTTCCTGGGAAAATATCCTTCTGCCTGGTAGTATTTTGAAGAGCTATTACTTACCAAAATTGACAGGCATTATGAGCACCAGGCCAGGTGGAACCTAGGACAGATATAATCACTGTTAACCATTTTTTCATCCAGCCAGTATTTATTAAGTTCCTGCCAAGTACTAGCCCACTATGTTGGGCACCGGAAGTAAAACAGTGCACGGGGCAGGTACAGTTTCTGCCCTCCCAGAGTTTATAGTCCAGTGGGGGGCTAAACAACTTACTTTAAATTGTTGGGAGAATTAAGGATGCAGTGGAAGCTCATGGCGTGGGGCGCTCATATAAATGGGGCCAGGGAAGCTTCCTGGCTCCTGCAGAAGGCCTGACTTAGAAGACAATAAAATGGGTCCACTGTCATGGAGGCTAACCTCTAGGAAGCCCACTTCTCAGTCTCCATCAGGCTCAGCTTGCGTGTCAGTGTTGAAAGTCAGAATGCCAAGCCTTTGCAGGGCTTAATTGTACATTTAGTCACCGTCTCCTCCAGAGGGGAAGATTTGGGTAAAATAAAAGGATAAAATTCTGCTGTGACTTGTCCGCACCATTTTCCTCTTTAAAGCTGTTGTCAGCCAGCTTGACTTGGTTAGATTTTATCATTCCTCTAAAACTTCTGCAGTAGCTCTTTCTCCATTATACCCTCAAATCTCCCATCTAGAAAAAAATCAAGAAGTTCTCATTTCACCATGCAGTCCATTCTGATTGCCATACTATTTCTTTTTCCTTTCCAGTATTTTTGGATGTATAGCCTGGACTCCTTGCCTTTGTGTTTTTATTATCCTCTTGTGTCCGAAATTATTTTCCTTCAGTTTCTACTTCTTACCACTCCACAGAAAGTTGTCATAAATGACTTCCCGAGTAAATCCAGTGGCCCGTTCTTTGTCCTCAAACTTTTTCAGGTCTGTTTGATACAGTTATCATTTTTTTATTCTAGTTATCACTTTTTTATTCTAGAAATTCTCTCCTCCATTACCTTTTCGTGACACTGTTTCCTCTTGCTTCTCTTTTTTTTTTTTTTCGCAGTATGCGGGCCTCTCACTGTTGTGGCCTCTCCCATTGCGGAGCACAGGCTCCGGACGCGCAGGCTCAGCGGCCATGGCTCACGGGCCTAGCCGCTCTGCGGCATGTGGGATCTTCCCGGACCCGGGCACGAACCCGTGTCCCCTGCATCGGCAGGTGGACTCTCAACCACTGCGCCACCAGGGAAGCCCCCCTCTTGCTTCTCTTAATACCTCACTGTTCACTCCTCTGTCTTCTTGTCTGATTTTATTCCCTAATATATTCCAACTCTGGGTGTACCCTAAACTGTTACAACTTCTAGAACTAAGATTTCCAAATCCACTTGAGTGGACCACTCACTCAAAATGGAAGAGGGGGACATATATGGAAAGATAATGTGGGAAACAGA